TATGGGAGGGAGGGGGCAGGGAGATATTGATGTTGAGCTACATATATAATAGCTCCTGATTTTTTTTTACCATTCGAAGGTAGTTAACATCAAATAATTTCCAGAGACATGTGCCCACTACACATTGTCATTAATCCAGGTTATAGTCCATATGTAACCAGCAATGCATCACATTATGCTGTAATAATAACATATGCTCTTCATATAGTTGTTGTAGAATTATAGAATTCTTGAAATTATCTAAGCTAATGCTTTGGCAGGAAGAAATGTGCTGAATAATAAAATGTGTATTTACTAAAAGAACCTTGAAGCTGACAATACTAACTACTCAAAATGGCTGCCAAAGCACCCCTCCCATCAAGTGAACACCTCGTGGTAACAAGATGGCGCCTACATCTTGTGTCCACTCCCGTGTCAAGGATGACATCACCTCCGGATGGGAGGGCATCTAACTAACCACTTAACACCTGGACCAATCAATAGTGTCTATTTGCTGTTATCTTGAATTCTTCAGTGATGTAAAAATGCCTTTATAAGGGTCTGCACACCCACTATCTGTTAGAAGCCATTAAACTTCTCCGAAGTTCTTTCATTAACCTGAACTCTGTGTCTCAGTGTGAATTTACTTCTGCGTGCACGCAACTTTATTATCTTTAATTTGGACAGGAACAGATAGTCATTCAAACTTATTGGTTTGCAGAAAATAATCTACTACATAGTTAATGTGGGGTTGCATAACTAAAGTGGACTCATTCACTGTTGCAAGATATAAAATCAATATATGGAAAAAAAATCCACTCTCTATGAAGAATTCTAAATTGTGATTTAATGTGCTTTTATGTGAAGATTGATCCGGTGACATGTGTCTTTGGTTTGGATTTATGGAGAATCAAAGTCTTTGGGTGTTTGACATAGTCACTGAGTCATTAAAGGCATATATACCTGTAGCTAGGTAAGGCAAAATTAGCAATGCCACTACCACACCATCATGCATCCATTTGAGCACTGAGCAATAACATCTATGCCAATTTGCTAAACTGGTGTATAATGAGAATTGTGCAAAGATTAAAAAATATTTTTATATCCCTGAAGTTGTACTAATAAATCAGGATGAATCTCACCCACCCAACTCCGAGTACAACACATAGTCTATGTTCAAATAATTAAATAATATGAACATAGAAGTTCGATCGTGCAGCTGACTCAATGCAATATATAATCAGAATATCTTATATAATTACATAATATGAGTAAATAAAAATGTGTATATAGCTTGAAGAATTACTCCAACTATTCTTGGTCCACAGTTAAATTTACTTTATAATGACCTAGTGGGCATTGCTAACTAACCCACCCCCTTTATACAGCAGTAAATAATAATATCTAAAAGCAAAAGTGGTGATGGTGGATGGAGTAATTCTTTAAATGTATGTAAACAAGCTACAATATTGCATTTGAAGTCAGCTGTAATAGAGTAGCAGTGTAGACTGAGAACTTTACCCTCTACCATTGTTATGCAAGTCTTCTACTTATATAGCAGAGGATCTTATGCCTGTACGCAAATGCTGGATACATTACAGCAGATTTAGCAACACTGACATGTGAGAAGTTCTGTGTTTTCTAATATAGTAAATATGGTAAGCTTAAAGGGGAACTGTCACTTCCCTAGACTTTTAATATTATGTTTACATATCCCTAAATTCAACAAATTTGTGTGAACAATAGAATTAAATGTAGAAACCCACACCTCTTTAACCTGCAAGGTGGCTCCTCCATTCTAGATCCTGTTCATTAAGATCTGTCTTTGAGCCTGGCAGTCAGCATAGAGGGAGCATAAAGAGAAGGGGACATATGAAACAGTGGGGAAGATTTAACAATGTGATACAAATAGTGTCATATACAGCTAGGTCCAGAAATATTTGGACACTGACACAGTTTTCATAGTCTTGGCTCTGTACGCCACCACAATGGATTTGAAATGAAACAACTAAGATGCAATTGAATACTATAACAATATACAAACAAAATGACAAATTAAAAAGCAATAATACTTAGCTTATAAAGATGTGTAACAGCCTCCCTAGGTCGCTACCCAAACGAGCAACCTGTATCATGCATAATATAAACCAAAAAAGGAGATTCGGGATATAGCTGTGTAAATCTACAGAAGGAATATAAAACAAAACATAGTGTGATATTGTTAAAGATACAATATTATATGCGCAACAATCTTTTGCACTCACAAGATGTAGATGATAAAAGCGCTCTTAGGGTGCCTCCCCTAGAATGATGGGGGGTTAGCTGATATTGCTTGTCACCTCTGGATCCTTGTTCCACCAAAAAGACATCCACAGGTCAGGGTTCAGCAATAAAAAATTAGTTTATTTAAATAAAAGGTGTAGTCACCATATTGAGCATAGGATATAAATAGCGTAAAATAGTCCTACGCGTTTCGTTCTATAAGAACTTCCTCAGGGACCACAGTTAAAAACAATCAGCATGTATCAATATACAATACATAAATAAACATATCCTATACAAACCCCCCCTCCCTGTGTCCTTAAATAGGGCTAATCCCTAGAGTCCATTGGTGGATTCAGTGGGAGTGTAAATCCTTCCTGTTCCTGGTTGGAGGGACAATTTCACTGGGACAGCTGTTATCCATTCTTTAATTTTATAATTCGCGCTTTTTTTCGGCAAATACCGCGGGTAATCCCATTTCGCCGAAACCGGAAGTGACGTCACAATTACTTCCGCGTTCCACATGCGTTCCACACACGGCGTCCCCATAGCAACCAAACGTGATCGAGTTGTTTAAAGATCACCTGGAACTAAGGGAGAATAAACCCCCACTCTGCTAATGAAAAGATCATTAGGCATGTACATTTGCAATTGACCATTATTCACAACTAATGTATATAGAGCATCATCCTCCTATTGTGATATTGTTAAATAATAATAATAATATAAATAATAATAACATTAATCCTTATATTTATCCAATTATAATATTACCTCAAAATATTATAAGTCAAAAGACTTATTATAAAGTGCTTAGGTGCCTCATATAAATCAAAAAAATGATTATAATTTTTTTTTTTTTTTTTTTTCATATACAACTTTATATAATTAGTGAAAGGAGGACATCACAGTTAATCGATCACTATCATCAGTTGATCTTTAGTATATCACATCTCATTAATGTTTCTTATGAGGAAAAAACTTTCAAAACTTGTTTAATATCTTTGTGCAATTCTTTTAAATACAAAAAAGATTGTGAATTATGACTTAAAAAATTAGTGTGCAATCCCACATTTGGGATGATGCTGATTCTATATATCATCCTGGTGAGTTTATTTTCAATATTCAAACAGTCAATTGCTATATCTCCATTGTATCTTTATGATTTAGATCATACAAGACCATAAATCCTAACATAAAATGAAAAATTATATAAACATAATAACTCAAAATAATCATATATATAAATCCTCTATCTAAATAAAGGTAAACTTACAACTGTAGAAAGAAGCCCCAAATTGGGGACAAACACACATATCTATTGTATTCCATTATAAAACTTTATTAAGGCCAAGTCAATCCAAAAAACACATTAAGTCAATATCTATATTTAGACCCTTTGGAGTAAGGGTCTGTAGCTTATATATCCAGAAAGTCTCCCTTTGGGCTAGTCTTTGTACTCTATTGCCCCCACGCCAAAAAGGGGAAACTCGTTCTATTCCCCAACATTTAAAATCCTTAAATGAAAATAAGGGACAAGATATACAATGAGCTGGGACTGAATGTGTCGTCAGTCCCTTTCTAATATTGTTAAGATGTTCCAATAGGCGGACCTTCAGAATCCTCTTAGTTCGTCCCACATATTGCATGCCACACGGACACTGCAGCAAATATACTACAAAGTCCGTGTGGCAATTGATACTATCCCTAAGTGTGAAGATCTCCCCCGTAGTAGAGCTAAAAAAAGTATGTGTATTTTTTATGGACACCGTGGTACAGACTTTACAAGAACCACAGCCTCGAAATGAGCCTGATCGAACAGACATAGAGACAGATGGTGGCTTGATGGCATAACTTGGTGCCAACATATCCTTCAAATTTTTATTCCTTTTATAAATCACTACGGGATTGTCCGTTAAATGTGCCCCCAGAACAGGGTCTTGTAACAAAATAGGCCAAGAATTTTGAAGACTCCTCTTAATTCTATTATAATCAATATTGTAATGAGTGATAAATGCTGAACGAAAATTATCTCTAGTTTGCGGAATAGATGGTCTATTTTCCAAAAACGTCTTTCTTTCTATATCACCAATACGGCAGATCTCTTTCTCTAATCTTTTACCATTGTATCCCCTATCTATGAGTTTCCTCTTTATATGAGATGATTGGGCAAAGAAATCTTGTTTGTCTGAGCAATTCCGCCTAAGTCGGGTGAACTGGCTCCTAGCTATACCCTTAAGCCAAGGTTCATAATGCCCACTCTTACGGTGAACGAACCCATTTCCATCAGTAGGTTTAAAAAAACATTTACTCCTTATCTGTCCCGAATCGTGCGACAAACAAAGGTCAAGAAAATTGATCTCATTTTTATTCCAAATGGGGGTAAAAACCAGATTATATTCGTTATTATTCAGGAAATTGACATAATCATCAAATAAGACAGAAGACCCCTTCCAAATGATAATAACATCATCGATATAACGCCGCCATAGGACCAAGTTCGCCCTCCAGCCATGTCCAGACCAAACAAACAACTCCTCCCATCTTCTCATATAAGTGTTGGCATAGCTGGGGGCGAACTTGGTTCCCATGGCGGTCCCCGTTATTTGTAGAAAAAAATCACCATTAAAGAAAAAATAATTGTGATATAGAATAAATTGAACGGAAGAAAAAATAAACTCTCTAATATCCATTGGTAACTCCAAATCCTGCTTCATAAAATAGTCAACTGCCTCCAGACCCAAATTATGGCTAATCACCGAGTACAGAGAGGTCACATCAAGGGTGGCCCAACTGTACTCTGGATCCCATTCAATATTCTCAACTTCTTGGAGAAAAGACTTTGTATCCTTTACATATGAAGGTGCCCCTTGGGCATATTTCTGTAATCGAGAGTCAACGTAGGCCGACAAATTAGCTGTCAGTGAATTAATACCACTAATTATAGGTCGCCCAGGAGGGTTAGGGAGACGTTTGTGTGTCTTTGGAAGAAAATAAAAGATAGGGATAATTGGAGTTTTTTGGTATAAAAAATCATAATTTTTTTGTGAAATGGTACCTCTCTCCTTAGCTCTATTCAAAATTGTTTGGAGTTCTACATTAAACCGGCTCGTTGGGTCACATTTAAGTACACTATAAGTGTCTTTATCCCCCAAAATATGTGCTGCTTCCTGGAGATAATATGTGGTAGTCATTAACACTATCCCCCCCCCTTTATCTGCTTCCCTAATAATTACATCATCTCTTTCTATCAGTCGTTTAAGTGTGTTTTCTTCCTTTTTGTTTAAATTTGGAAAGCAGTTCTTTTTATTCCTATTAGTGCCCTTCATCATATTTTGGAATTGTTGGTCTACCAAATGTTCGAAGGTTTCTAAAAAAGGGCCCTTACTATGAGTAGGGAAAAAATGGGACTTGGGGCGGAATCTGTAATCAACATCAATGCCCTCACCACCAGTTTTAATCTCAGGAGGATGTAATAGAAAATGTCTTTTAATAGTTAAAGAACGGATAAACTTTTTAAGATCAATATAGAGTTCGAAATTATTGGCCCTTCTATTTGGGGCAAATTTCAAACCCCTTGATAACAAATTAATCTCCTCATCTGAAAGTGGAGTTGGAGTTAAATTAAAAATCCCCTTACTCAGTTCTTTCTCATTTATCAAACCCCCATTTAAAGAGGTTGTTCCTAATCCTCCGTCCGGATTCTCTTTACTGGGGAATCCTGGCATAGGGTTGCAAAACGGTTGGGATGTTCCCAGGTCTCTGCCCTGGGCCGAAAATAGTTGGTGATAGTCTTTTCTTTGGGTCCTCTCGGTTTCCCCTGAAAATTTACAATGGGATCATTGTATTGAGATACAAACTTGTCTGAATTATCTCTGCCTCTAGATGTTGATATATGGGATCTATTCGCTTCCCTTCTCACAGGTGATACACTATTGTTTCTATTTCTAACTCTTTGTCCCTCAGATCTCCTTATTTCACCTCTCAAAGGTAATGGGCCCTTGTAGTTCTTTGGGGATCTTCCATTTTGTGGTATCCTACGTGTATCTCTACCAAAACTATTACGTGTCTCCCATGGGCCTGGAGACCCAGGGAGATCTTCCCTACTGGGCATTTTGTATGTATCATTCACAGGGTATTGTCGGCCCCTAGAGTAAGAATTAGCCCTAACCTTCCCCCTTGGGGATCCAGGTGCAGCTCTCCTATAGGTGGAGGGACGTCTTTTTCTACGAGTCAATTTGTTTTTTGTGGCAAAAGTATTAAGTGATTTGTCTGCCTTATCTCTGCTATATTTTCTATTTTTAGTATCAGCAATTTTTTCATCCAATCTTTTTATATTATCATGTAAGGACTCTTCTCTCTCTTTGTATTCTTTACTATTTACATCAATAGTGGGGTTAGAATCCAAAGTAATTAATTCAGCCTCCAATTCATTCTGTATTTTTTTTGAGTATCTAATAATTAATTGGATCAACTGGAAAGAACAATTAGAGAGAATGGCATCCCACTCCTCTAAAAATAAATCATCCTCTAACCCAAAAGCAGGTGTTTTGTCAATTCTAAGTCCTCGTGGTATGAGGCCTTCCTTTAAATAATTCTCTAAATACGCTACCTCCCACCATTTTTTAGTTTCGGCAGAGAGTAATTTTTCTTTTTTTCTAAATAGTTCATCCAACCCTTTAAATGGTTGAGGTTTATCCCACTCCTGGAACATAGCCTCAAATTTTCGTCTCCGATCAGATTGTAAGTCAGATAAAAAATTCATATTAGTGGCCATATTATTGGAACAATAGATATGTGTGTTTGGAATAATGGGTTACAAACAATAGCTTGCAAATCTAACTATAACAATATACAAACAAAATGACAAATTAAAAAGCAATAATACTTAGCTTATAAAGATGTGTAACAGCCTCCCTAGGTCGCTACCCAAACGAGCAACCTGTATCATGCATAATATAAACCAAAAAAGGAGATTCGGGATATAGCTGTGTAAATCTACAGAAGGAATATAAAACAGAACATAGTGTGATATTGTTAAAGATACAATATTATATGCGCAACAATCTTTTGCACTCACAAGATGTAGATGATAAAAGCGCTCTTAGGGTGCCTCCCCTAGAATGATGGGGGGTTAGCTGATATTGCTTGTCACCTCTGGATCCTTGTTCCACCAAAAAGACATCCACAGGTCAGGGTTCAGCAATAAAAAATTAGTTTATTTAAATAAAAGGTGTAGTCACCATATTGAGCATAGGATATAAATAGCGTAAAATAGTCCTACGCGTTTCGTTCTATAAGAACTTCCTCAGGGACCACAGTTAAAAACAATCAGCATGTATCAATATACAATACATAAATAAACATATCCTATACAAACCCCCCCCTCCCTGTGTCCTTAAATAGGGCTAATCCCTAGAGTCCATTGGTGGATTCAGTGGGAGTGTAAATCCTTCCTGTTCCTGGTTGGAGGGACAATTTCACTGGGACAGCTGTTATCCATTCTTTAATTTTATAATTCGCGCTTTTTTTCGGCAAATACCGCGGGTAATCCCATTTCGCCGAAACCGGAAGTGACGTCACAATTACTTCCGCGTTCCACATGCGTTCCACACACGGCGTCCCCATAGCAACCAAACGTGATCGAGTTGTTTAAAGATCACCTGGAACTAAGGGAGAATAAACCCCCACTCTGCTAATGAAAAGATCATTAGGCATGTACATATGCAATTGACCATTATTCACAACTAATGTATATAGAGCATCATCCTCCTATTGTGATATTGTTAAATAATAATAATAATATAAATAATAATAACATTAATCCTTATATTTATCCAGTTATAATATTACCTCAAAATATTATAAGTCAAAAGACTTATTATAAAGTGCTTAGGTGCCTCATATAAATCAAAAAAATGATTATAATTTTTTTTTTTTTTTTTCATATACAACTTTATATAATTAGTGAAAGGAGGACATCACAATTAATCGATCACTATCATCAGTTGATCTTTAGTATATCACATCTCATTAATGTTCCTTATGAGGAAAAAACTTTCAAAACTTGTTTAATATCTTTGTGCAATTCTTTTAAATACAAAAAAGATTGTGAATTATGACTTAAAAAATTAGTGTGCGATCCCACATTTGGGATGATGCTGATTCTATATATCATCCTGGTGAGTTTATTTTCAATATTCGAACAGTCAATTGCTATATCTCCATTGTATCTTTATGATTTAGATCATACAAGACCATAAATCCTAACATAAAATGAAAAATTATATAAACATAATAACTCAAAATAATCATATATATAAATCCTCTATCTAAATAAAGGTAAACTTACAACTGTAGAAAGAAGCCCCAAATTGGGGACAAACACACATATCTATTGTATTCCATGTGGAATAATGGAATACAATAGATATGTGTGTTTGTCCCCAATTTGGGGCTTCTTTCTACAGTTGTAAGTTTACCTTTATTTAGATAGAGGATTTATATATATGATTATTTTGAGTTATTATGTTTATATAATTTTTCATTTTATGTTAGGATTTATGGTCTTGTATGATCTAAATCATAAAGATACAATGGAGATATAGCAATTGACTGTTCGAATATTGAAAATAAACTCACCAGGATGATATATAGAATCAGCATCATCCCAAATGTGGGATTGCACACTAATTTTTTAAGTCATAATTCACAATCTTTTTTGTATTTAAAAGAATTGCACAAAGATATTAAACAAGTTTTGAAAGTTTTTTCCTCATAAGAAACATTAATGAGATGTGATATACTAAAGATCAACTGATGATAGTGATCGATTAACTGTGATGTCCTCCTTTCACTAATTATATAAAGTTGTATATGAAAAAAAAAAAAAAAAAAAATTATAATCATTTTTTTGATTTATATGAGGCACCTAAGCACTTTATAATAAGTCTTTTGACTTATAATATTTTGAGGTAATATTATAATTGGATAAATATAAGGATTAATGTTATTATTATTTATATTATTATTATTATTTAACAATATCACAATAGGAGGATGATGCTCTATATACATTAGTTGTGAATAATGGTCAATTGCAAATGTACATGCCTAATGATCTTTTCATTAGCAGAGTGGGGGTTTATTCTCCCTTAGTTCCAGGTGATCTTTAAACAACTCGATCACGTTTGGTTGCTATGGGGACGCCGTGTGTGGAACGCATGTGGAACGCGGAAGTAATTGTGACGTCACTTCCGGTTTCGGCGAAATGGGATTACCCGCGGTATTTGCCGAAAAAAAGCGCGAATTATAAAATTAAAGAATGGATAACAGCTGTCCCAGTGAAATTGTCCCTCCAACCAGGAACAGGAAGGATTTACACTCCCACTGAATCCACCAATGGACTCTAGGGATTAGCCCTATTTAAGGACACAGGGAGGGGGGGTTTGTATAGGATATGTTTATTTATGTATTGTATATTGATACATGCTGATTGTTTTTAACTGTGGTCCCTGAGGAAGTTCTTATAGAACGAAACGCGTAGGACTATTTTACGCTATTTATATCCTATGCTCAATATGGTGACTACACCTTTTATTTAAATAAACTAATTTTTTATTGCTGAACCCTGACCTGTGGATGTCTTTTTGGTGGAATAAGGATCCAGAGGTGACAAGCAATATCAGCTAACCCCCCATCATTCTAGGGGAGGCACCCTAAGAGCGCTTTTATCATCTACATCTTGTGAGTGCAAAAGATTGTTGCGCATATAATATTGTATCTTTAACAATATCACACTATGTTTTGTTTTATATTCCTTCTGTAGATTTACGCAATTGAATACTAGACTGTCAGCTTTAATCAAGGGGTTGAACAAAAAAAAATTATGAAACGTTTAGGAATTGCAACCATTTTCATACACAGTCCCCTTATTTCAGGGTATCAAATGTAATTGGACAAATTAACACAATCAAAAATAAAATGTTAATTTCTAATACTTTGTCGAGAATCCTTTGCAGGCATGGACTGCTTAAAGTCTGGAACACACGGACATCACCAAATGCTGGGTTACCTCCTTTGTGATGCTGTGCCAAGCCATTACTGCAAATGTCTTCTGTTGTTGTTTGTTTGTGGGTCTTTCTGCCTCATATTTTGTCTTCAGCAAGTAAAACACATGCTCGATCAGGTTGAGATTAGGTGATTGACTCGGCAATTGAAGAATATGCTATTTTTTTGCCTTAAAAAAATCCTGGGTTGCTTTTGCAGTCTGTTTTGTGTCATTGTCCATCTGTAAAGTGGGGCACTGTCCAATCAACTTTGTTGAATTTGGCTGAGTCTGAGCAGACAATATATCCAGAATTCATCTGCCCGCTTCTGTCTTTTGTCATATCATCAGTAAATACTAGTATCCCAGTGCCATTGGAAACCATGCATTCCCATGCAATTACACTGCCTCCACCATGTTTTACAGTATGTGATATGTGGTATGATGTGGCATTAGACGATTCAAGCCATCTCCATACTTTTTTCTTCAAATCATTCTGGTCTTAGTTTTATTAATCCAAAGAATGCTGCTCCAGATATTGGTTGCCTTTTTTAGATTTTTTTTTTTTTTTTTTTTGGCAAAGTCTAATCTGCCCTTCCTATTCTTGAAGCTTATGAATGGTTTGCACCTTGTTGTGAACCCTCTTTATTTGCTCTCGTAAAGTCTTCTCTTTATAGAAAACTTGGACAATGATATGCCTACCTCGTGGAGAGTGTTCTTGTCACAACAAGTGACCCAAACATGCAGAATATAACCCAAATTAGAAAACGTAT